TAGTATTATGTATTGACCTTCTTTGTCTCTTTTTTTGGTCTTTATTTGAAGTCTGTTTTGTCAGAAATATGTATTGCTAACCCAGCTTGGTTTTCATTCTCATTTACATGGAATATATTTTTCTATCCTTTCACTTTCAGTCTGTGTGAATCTTTTGTAGAGGTGCGTCTCTTGTAGACAGCATATATATGGGCCATGTTTTCTTATCCATTCAGCTATCCTATGTCTTTTGATTGGTGCAGTTAATCTGTTTACATTTAAAGTTATTATTAATCTGTACTTATTTAACGCCATTTTTTCCCTTTATGCCTATGCACCTTACTTTTATTTCTTCTTCTTCTTAAAGCAGACCTTTTAGCATTTCCTGCAGTGCTGTTTTGGTGGTACTAAACTCTTTTAGCCTTATTTTGTCTGGGAAGCTCTTTATTTCACCCTTTATTTTGAATGATAGCCTTGCTGAATAGAGCAGTCTTGGTTTTAAATCCTTGCTTTTAATTACTTTGAAAACTTAATGCCAATCCCATCTGGTCTGAAGTGTTTCTGTTGAGAAATCCTCTGACAGCCTTATGGGGGCTCCCTTGTAGGTCACTGATTGTTTCTCTCTTGCAGCCCTTAGGATTCTCTCTTTGTCCTTAACATTTTCCATTTTAATTATGATGTGTCTTGGTTTGGGTCTCTTTGGGTTCATCTTGATTGGAACTCTCTATGCTTCCTGAACTTGTGTTTAGCTTCTCCTTTCAGCAGGTTAGGGAAGTTTTCTGTGATTATTTCTTCAAACAGGTTCTCTACCCCTTGCTTACTTTCTTCTCCTTCTGTTATCACTATGATGTGGATGTTGTTTCTTTTCATGTTGTCCCAGAGTTCCCTTAAACTATCCTCGTTCTTCTTAGTTCTTTTTTCTTTTTGTTGCTCTGTTTTTTTCTACCTTGTCTTCCAAGTCATTGATTCTATCCTCTGCTTCATCCAGCCTACTTTTAATTTCTTCCAGTGTGTTATTGATGTCAGATATGATATTCTTTATTTCCAGCTGGCTTTTATTTAGTTTCTGTCTCCTTTTTCACATTGATGTAGTTCTCATTGAGTTCTTTGTAGTTTTCACTAAGTTGTTTGAGCATCCGTATAACCATTATTTTGAACTCTGTGTCTGATAAATTGCTTGCTTCCATTTCATTTAGTACTTTTTTTTGAGAATTTTCCTCTTCTTTAATTTGGGGATTGTTTCTTTGTCTCCTCCATTTTAGCTGTTTCTTTGCTTTGTTCTTATGTGTGAGCTAGAACTACTATGACTCCCACCCAGTCTTTATGTGGTGGCCTTATATAGTAAGTGTCCTGTGGGACACAGTGGTAAAGTCTCCTTGAACTCCTGAGCTGAATGCTCTAGTAATATCCTTTGTGTGGGTTATGTGGACCCTCCTGTTGTAATTGGAAGCTGATTGTTGTTGGCCCGTTTGTGGGTGGGATCAACTTTCACCCCACAGAAATGAGCTTAGCAGGATGGGGACAGCTAGAAATGGGAATGCAAATCCAATCCTCCCTTTGATTGGGGTGACACAGATTCTCAGATCTCGAGAGGGGAGCTTACTGCTTGTCTTCTAGCTCAGTGGTGTCCTGTGAGAAACCCTAAGGGGAGGCTCTGAGGGGGTCGAACCAGACAGCCCAGCTCCGGGTTATGTGCTCTTTCCTCTGTGAGGCTGCATCAGCGGGGATGTGCTGGCAGGCCTTGGAGGAAGAGACGAGGGCTGCCCCTCTCCACTTGGGGTGTCACCTGCCCTTGGAAGGAGAGAGCTGCTCACCTCCTTCTATTTCATCAGTGCTCTGCCAGAGGCCCTGTTGGAGTTCTCCAAGTAAGTCACGTCCAATGTCCAAGCTCTGCTTTGTGCTCCCTTCCTTCAGTGGATATGAGATTAGCAGGGCATGGCCAGCAGAATCTGGGGATACTAGTCTAATCCATCCTTTGATTGAGGTGTCTCAGGTCCTTAGCCCTCAAGAGGGGATGTAGGTGCTCTCCTTTAAGTTCCATGCCAGAACTCTGGATGGGAGGCTCCTAGGGGATGCACCAGATTTCACAGTTCTGATTTGTGGCCCCTTTACCTTGTGAGACTGCACCTGCAGGACAGTGCAGGTGGGGCTTGTAGAAATAAATCAAGGCTGCCTCCTCCACTTGGGGTAGCACCGGCTCTTGGGGCTTGGGGTTGGGAGAGAGCTTGTCACCTTCCTCTCTCCTTGCAGCTCACTGCCAGAGGCTCTGATGTAGACCTTCAGGGGGATGGCTCCAGATGCTCCAGTTCTGACCTGTAATTCCTCCCCACTTTCAGTCTGCACTTGGCTGGTGGTGTGGACAGGCTTGGGGAATGCAAATCCAGACGGCCCCTTGTTGGGGTTAGTGCAGGCCCTTGGCCCTCAAGAAGGGAGGTAGGCACTTGCCCTACAGCTCAGCAGCACCCCACCAGAGCTCTTGAAAGGAGGCTCCTAGGGAGTCCCACTCGGTTTCACAGTTCTGATTTGTGACCCCTTTTCCCAGCAAGTCTGCTTCTGCAGGACGGTGCAGGTGGGGTTTAGAGTTATAGCACAAGGCTGCCCCTTCTGCTTGGGGTTGATCTGGCTCTTATAGGGGGATTAGAGAGCTTGTCACCCCCCTCTATCCCTGCAGCTCACTGCCAGAGGCTCTGGTGAAGGCCTCAGGTGGGGGGGCTCTAAAGTCCCAGTTCTGGTTTGCACTTTGTTCCTGCTATGGATCTGCACTTGGCTTGGGGTGCAGGCAGGCTTTGGAATACAAATTCAGACGGTCCCTTATTGGGGGTGGTGCAGGACCTCAGCAGGTTAGTTAGCTGCTGGCTTTCTAGCTTGGCAGCACCCCGCCAAAGATCCTGAGGGAGGCTTTCAAGTGCACTGCCTCCCCCTAATTCCACAGCTGCCTGCAGCCTGAGGCCCTGCCCAGGGTACCTTCTTTTGGGGATTGCGCCCGCCTAACCCGTGGGGGTGGGAGGGAAGATTGGCTCTTGTTCCCCAGCCACTCAGTTCAGTGTCTGTTTAAGGCTGTCTGTAGTTTCTCCAGAGGAAAAAGCACTACTTAGGTCCCTTTTGGGTATAGCCGATAGTTCTTTATGCCAGACTTAAGCTTGGCGGGTGGTGTCGCCAGTATTTGGAGGACAGGGTTAGTGTACTTTCTCCCGCTCGTGCTATAAGAATAGAACTGGTGCACCCTGGGAGATGGCGTCTGAGGGCTGTGTGAGATGTTGGCTTAGAACTGGGACCTCAGAAGCCTGCCTTCCCATCACCAGTCTTATGCCACCCAGATCTTCTCCTTCTGGCTTTTGTATGCCCTGAGTCTCCTTCCTCTACCTGAGCCCCGGGTGAGTGCCTGAGAGTGAGTCCCTGTGCAGTAGCCTTTACGGAGGACGCCTGGGATTCAGGCAGACTCCCTCCCCTTTCCAGTGGACCAATTTCCCACTTATTTTTGCTGCCAAATGTTATGCAAGTTCTTCTTCCAGGCCATGGTGTTCTGGGTTGGGAGTCCTGGCATGGGATTGAGACGCCTCTTTCCTCTGGTGGGGCTTTTGTAGCCACAATATTTCTCCGACTTCACAGCCACTTCCCCTGGGTGCAGGGACCAGCTTTTTCTGCGTCTCCACCCCTCTTACCAGTCTCTGTGTTGCTTCTTGTTTTCACTCTTTGGATATAATACTCCTTTTCAGGTGTCTTTCTATTATTAATTCAGGTTAATTGCTCTAAATTTTAGCTGTAATTCCTGTTCGTCCTCAGGAGCAGGTGTGTATTGCTTTCACCTATTCCGCCACCATCTTCCTCTCACTAGAGAGACTTCTGACATCAAGAGGCTAAGTTTACGTGGAGAAGTAGGAAGGAGCCCACATAGCATATGTTAAACTTCTGTGGGGCTGGTGGAAGCCTCGATTCTTGACCCCTGCCTTCTGGAAGATGAGCTCATATAAACCTGAAGGGAGACATTCTTCCAGGGGCTGGCTGAGGACTGAAGTCACAAAAATTTCCAAGAGGACACCTGAGCATTTGGAGCCTCAATGAGAATGTGGAAACCTGCAGGTTGGAGATAGCAGTTAGGTTTTGGTGGGGGATGGATGCTGCCAGACTCACAGAAGTTACTTAGTTTGGGGGAGGGAGGTGATCAAAATGGTTATTTATTATGGCAGAGAGTGAAGGGCAAATAGTTGAACTAAGTAAACTCTGGACAGCTCAGGCCTCCCTGGCTGAGGCTTTGGCCCCTCTAATTCTGGTCTCCCAATAGGTGACCAGTGCCCTACCTCATTCCATAGAAGCATGAGACATTGTTCCTCGCTTTTGGCATTTTTACTGTTGAAACTGTCTGATGATTCTGTAGTCAGATCATCTCAATTCAGTGTAGCTTTGGTTTTGTAACCAAGAGAAATATCAGTGAGGGGTTGGGAAAGCAGGTAATCTTTTACTTAAGCCAATGTTTACTCCCCAAAGCCAATGGCTAATTCTTTCCTAGATCTAGTATGTCTTCCTTCGTTTGTTTAATTTGGCTGTTTACTATGGCTTTTTATTTAATGTGGAGAGCAGAGCATTAGGGCCACACTGCCATTGTATATACAGTGAGAACAGAAAAAAAATAAATCCCACCAGAAGGGAACTGGTTAAAACTATGTGTGTTCCAGACTGACTTGGTTCATAAAGCATTGTTCTTTAATTCTGTCAGTGTAATGCAGACAGTCACTCAAAATATTCCATAGGTTCTGCCTTAGGACTCTGACCCTAAGAAATGGTCCTGAAGAAGAGTCTGGATTCTAAGTCCCATTTTTTTCTTGCTGAGCAATCCTCCCTGTAGTCAGGGTTGAGGTGATGTACTATTGAAGGCAATTCCCAAATCATCTTGGGGAATTTCCATGGGGAGTGGGACACACACTGTGTCTCTCAGATGTTGCACGAGGGTATGTTACTGTGCATGTGCCTCATTCACATCTTGTTTCCCTCTGAGCATCTCTGAGTTGATCTCTGTGTTGTAGGTTCTCACCAGAAAATACAGAACTTCTTACAACTTTAGGATTACTCTACTTACAGGTAAGGAGAACTCTTTAGTCATTCATGTATTAATGTTAGAAATGCTTTTGGATTTATGTGTATTGTGGTTTCCCTGCATTTTGATTTTACTTTAACACATTTTACTAAAGGTCATATGAAGCACACGAACTTTACTTTTTGCTTTATTATATTCTTTATTTGTTAAAGGAATTAATTTTCTGCATTCAAATAAAAACTGCAATTATAATTTTTAAAGGAAAGAGCATATATGAGAAATAACTAGTCACAAGGGCTGTCATTTTGTTGTGGGGAGAGAAACTGATACAAATTAGCATTATTAGGGCTTTGAAGCTAAGGCCATTTCTATTGTTCCTTCTTCCCAGCCAGGTCCTATAGGAAAGAGAAGGCAAAGTATTGTCTAGAATTAGAAGTCTGTTTCCTCTCCCCTCCACATTCCTGAATGTCAGTGAAGTTCTTTCAGCTCAATCACTTTTCCTTATCAGCCTGAAAACTGGGGCCCAGGGGTCCTGGAGGGGCCTCTACTCATCCCATTTCCCCATTAACTCCCCAAGATCCCTGCTTAGCTCATCCTGCCTCCAGGTCTGCCTCTTTGGTAACCTTTCTGTCTGTTTCATTTTTCTTTAAAAGGAATTAGGAGTTTAACCCTCGGCCTTCCTGGCTTTGGCTTGGGAGGTTGGCTCCAGAGGAGATGAGGCTAACCAGCCCATTTCCTTCCAGGAGACATTAGTGTGGAGCAGCACTAGTGTGGCAGAGATGGTTCCTGGCAAATAGATAATTTGATCTTATCAGGCGACAAATGTGTCGATTTTTAGTTTCCTTTTTCTATCTGGTATCTGTAGCTCTTGTTTTGTTAAGAGAACTCAGAAAAGTCAGGGTGCTTCAGGGTGTGATTGACCAGACTCCTTAACTACCAACTCCTCGCTGATACAATTCTCTGGTTTGCTTTTTCTCCAAGCTTGGCATTTACCAGAAGGCATTTGAACACCTCGGAAATGCGCTGACTTATGACCCTACCAATTACAAGGTACTTAGGCCGTCAAACTCCAGAGCCTTCACATAGATGGTCCCACACCTAGAGGTGATCTGGCCCTAGAAAGCTTTTTGAATACCTGAGATACTACCTTTTTCTTAGAAAAATTATAAATAAACATGGTTCTTCTTATTTGAAAATATTATAAAGTGTTGGTACTTGCTTCTTATTTTCCAAAAGAGCACATTTGTTATAACAAGCCTGTAACTTACGCAGAAAGCAAAACTGCAATGCTGATAAAGTTTTATGCATTTAGGCAATTAACAAAGCCCCCACAACTGCTGTCAAAAATACTTCTGGTGAAATGACTTCTAGATTCTTAATGAATCTGCAGTTACAACTCTTGTCCAGATATATCTTTAGGGATGAGAAGATCAAGTGGATGAATGTTATTGAGGGAGATGCAGCGAAGGATACAACTGCGAAGGATACAGACTCAGTCCTGTCTTGGAATCACATTAACCTTACTCCATCAGCTCCCCACCTTACACCTGGACTAATGAAGCCTAAAGCTGAGTCACTCTTTGTCCTGTGGCAGAAGGAGTTATACTTTAAGTGGCAAAGAAAGGAGTATTTGAGTTGTCTGGAGCAGCACTTGGTGTACCAAGTAGGTGCTGCAGGGAACAGATTAAAGGCAGTATTTACTTAAAGGGCTCTGATGCTCAGAAATATTGCCTTCCCTTGTTAGAATTAGGAAACAAGTGAGCTGGGTAAAGTCAGTGACATTTTTTTCTTTTCCCATACTGTGCCAAAGAGAACCACAGTGTAGGGTGCAGGGACATTTCTCATGAACATTTGTTCCAGTAGCTTGAATATATTATATATGTTCCTGGAAGTTTTTCTGTCATGCTGTGCAGGTTTTCTGCACCCAGGAAGGCTCCTTCACTGCCACAGCCTTTTGGAAATTACTGAATTATCAACTTTCCATGTCCTGTGTTTTCAGGCCATCTTGGCAGCAGGCAGCATGATGCAGACCCATGGAGACTTTGATGTTGCCCTCACCAAATACAGAGTTGTGGCTTGTGCTGTTCCAGAAAGTTCTCCACTCTGGAATAACATTGGAATGTGTTTCTTTGGCAAGAAGAAATACGTAGCAGTGAGTGTTTCCTCACCTTCCTTGTTTGTGTTATTGGGTCTGCCTAGCTTGCCCCCTCCCTTCATTGAGTGCCCTTCTCTCCTGCAGGCTATCAGCTGCCTGAAACGAGCCAACTACTTGGCACCCTTTGATTGGAAGATTCTCTATAATCTGGGCCTTGTCCACTTGACCATGCAGCAGTATGCATCAGCTTTCCATTTTCTCAGTGCAGCCATCAACTTCCAGCCAAAGATGGGGGAGCTGTACATGCTTTTGGCTGGTAAGAGATAATTATGTGGAAACCCTCTCCACAGTCTGAGAGTCATTGGAAGCCAGTGTCTAAATGTCCCTTAGGAGCCATTTTCTTGCAGATCCCATCAGGATCTGGAATACTGTGCTACAGCTTGAAAAACAATGAATAAAAAGATGACAAAGCACTTGTTTGCTTCTAACTTGGGGGAATTTCACTCAGAGACCAACAGGTTAAATCAAGATCATCCCTAGTTTATTGTTTACCAAATGTTTCCCCTTGGCTTGACATTTCATTTATATATATATTGAGCCAGCTAAGTTCCAGATATGAGTGTAAGAGATATATCTTACAGGGTTGATGAGGGGATTGTATGATTAGATAACCAATGAATATTAACTATTATTGGTTTTATTGTTAGTTACTATAATACAAAAGTATCGACTAATATTCTTTCTAGGGGATATTTCTCCATATACTAAACTTACTAAATGTTAGCCTGAAAGCAGTTTGCATGTCCTCATTGACATTGGTCTTCAGGTGTTTTTGGTCATTATTGTAGGGTTCTTATTTATAAGAGAAAGGTTGCAAAAGCAATTTGGTGGTTATTTGGGGGTTGCCTGAATTTGAAACTAGCCTACTTCTAAGGGGGATAGGAATGTAGCCAATTGCCACACTGCAAGGCACAAGCAGCAATTCTAACATCACAAAGTAGGGAGGGCCTTCACACTGTTCTGAAGGCTAAGCTGGAATTCAGTCGCACAGAGTGGCTGAGGAGTCACTGAACAAAGGCATGCAGCCATGAAACTGCACACTGTACCCTGCTGCTAATGGGCAATAGTGCTACAGAATGTAGTGGGAGATGAGTCCGGAAAGATAGTTTGGGTCAGATGATAGAGGGCACAAGTAGAGTGAAAGGACTTTAGACTTTATCCTCAAGGCCATTTTTTCCAGCTGAATTCCTAGATCTCCTCTTAAGTGTTTGGTAGAAGTGAGTGCATGTTGGTGGGGAGGTGGAGTGAACAGGGCCTCCAGAGCAGTTCTGTTAATTGTTTTATAGGTAAGGTGTCCAGAAAATGCTGATTAAAAAGGTGAGAGTGCCCTGGTGCTAAACAAATTTTAAAGATCATGGTTATGGGTGATGGAGGACCAGTGAGGATTCTTAAGTGGGATAGTGATATGTTCAGATTTGTTTGTAAGTCTGTGAGAAATCTGGCAGCATTGTGGCAAGTGGATGGAGGCAGATGGGGACATTGAAACAGTCTGAAACAACTTGGGCAGTGTCAGAAAAGAAACTACAAAAAATGGAGTTCAGATAACTTCGCAACTGATTGTGGAGAGGGGACTCTTGAAGATGACACCAGGTAACTAAGCTAGAGTAACTGAGTAGATGGTGGTACCAGGAGTAGAGAGGGCAAAGGAGCTGTTAAGTTGGGGGACTGAATGAACTGTGGTCTTGAAACATTCCTTTTGCTTTCTAAGCTGGAGTCTCCAGCTGCAGTTCTCACTTTCTTTGTTGCAGTGGCTCTGACCAATCTGGAAGATACAGAGAATGCCAAGAGAGCTTATGCAGAAGCAGTCCGCCTGGATAAGTAAGCTGCTCCTTGGGGAATGGTATTGGGGAGGCTAGACTCTCCAAAACCATGAGGTGGCACCAGAACACTCGCTTTGCCTGAGTCAGCCCTGATGCTTGCTCTCCATGGCCTTTTGCACAAGGCCTAAGTATGGAAGGATGTCATACTAAACATGCAGTGGCTCGGCAGAAACCAACACTAGCACTTTCCGAGAAAGTGTTTCCAGCCCCAAGTTTAGTAGTCAGGAGGGGAAAGTCAGAGCTGGCAGTGGACTTGAGTTGCTGATAGCCATGGGCTAGCTGGAATATCAGATGTGACTCTCGGCTTAGTTTAATCTAAGGTAAACTTGACTCTCTTGGATTTACTCTATTGGCATCAGCTAGGCAGCAGGGTAGGGATCACTTCTTCAGCCCATCCTGGTGGTCCCTGCTGAGGGCTGAGATGTCACACTTGGTCCCAACACCTGCTTTACTGGTTGGGCAATTATTCTGTGATTCTTTCCCACAAGTCCAGACAGCATGTGTGTTCCTGCTTGTTGCTGAGTGGAGAAATCTCTACTTATAATCAGGGTTTTTTTGTTTTTTTTTCAGTAATGAGAATCTCTAAATGACCATTTTTTGTGAAGCCTAAGCTTCATAGAATCCCTCTTTGCCACAGGTATAACCCTTTAGTCAACCTGAACTATGCTGTGCTGCTGTACAACCAGGGTGAGAAGAGGGAGGCCTTGGCCCAGTATCAAGAGATGGAGAAGAAAGTCAACCTACTCAAGGACAATAGCTCTCTGGAATTTGACTCTGAGGTATGTCTTTTTTTTATTGATTTTTTTTTTTTCCTTTTAGAGAGAGGGGCAAAGAGAGGGAGAGAGAGAGAGAGGGAGGAGAGAGACATTGATTGGTTGCCTCCTGCACATGCCCCAACCAGGGATTGAACCCCACTACCTCCTGGTGCACAGGATGGCACTCAACCAACAGACCAGGGCATGAGGGAGGTATGTCTCTTATTAGCTCCCAGGAGCCATAAGTAAGCTGTCGGCAAACTTTTGAATCTAGCCCAAATAATCCAAATAAAACCTATTATAAGCTCATGCCTGTTTTGGCTTTGATGTTCCTGGCAGCATAAATTATTCGATTAGTAACAGCCTGAGAAAAAACTTTCCTGGAAGAAAATAGTAAGAGGAAATTCAGGCTTACTGAGTCTGTTATTGATAATACAACTTCTCTGAGTTGAAGCCTATGTCTCTTTTTAGTTTCCTCTCACTTCTCCTGTAGGAAAGGTGAATTTTTAGCCCAATAACACACCAAACTTGAATTGTTAAGTGAGATCCTGTATGAACTCCCTTGCCATCCTCTAAGGGCGGTCTGTGATTTCTGCTGTTTGAGAAATATTTCCTTGCAATAAGTACTTCCTCCCTCAAATGCCTAGTACCAGTAGTCACTATTTTAGCTAAAACCCCAGGTGGAAGACCTAGGACAAGGTAGGTAGGCTTGTCTCTGGCGGTCATACCTTGATTCTTTTTTTCTTCTCATGTGGGTACAAGATGGTGGAGATGGCTCAGAAGTTGGGAGCTGCTCTCCAGGTTGGGGAGGCACTGGTCTGGACTCAACCAGTTAAAGATCCCAAATCAAAGCACCGTACTACTTCAACCAGCAAAGCTGCCAGTTTCCAGCAGCCTCTGGGCTCTAATCAAGCTCTTGGACAGGCAATGTCTTCAGCAGCTGCACACAGGAAGCTCCCCTCAGGTAGGAGGTTACACACAGCACCATAAAGACCTCGTGGGTACAGCCATGTGTCCAGCAAAGAAGTTACAACTTTGATTGAAACCTGTACTTTTCAGACTCAGAACATGTCCAATGTAATGTTGCCTAGAAGGGGGAAAAAGTCTCAGGGTGGACAAATTGGTACTTGTTTCTTTAAGGCAAGTTGTGTATATTAGGTAACAGTTACTGGCAGGCTCATTGCATAGTTAGTACACTGGGTCTTTACAATATTCAAGTTTAGAAATATATTACAGTACTTTCTGTTATGCAGTCTTGCTTTAATTCTCACTGCCTTATCATAAATTGGCATGGTGCAGGTAATTAAAGATTTCTTTCAGTGAGTCATTGAAGGCAAACTGGACTGTTGCTTTATTTCTTCAGTTATGGTATAACTTCACACCTGTAAAGATATATATATCACAGTCCCACTGGTGCCACAAAACATGGGGTTTCTTAAAATATAACAGTGAAAGTAATGATTTCTTTTGGAATTATGGAACCAAGAACTCAGGGCACCATCTCTTCCCCTGGCACCGGAGCTCACTGTGGAACCATGTCTCACTGAAGCACCAGCACAAATAAGAGAAAAACAGGAGTAGGGTGACCCCAGAGTAGGGGTTTCTCTGGCGATGATGTACCAGATTAAGAAAGGTCACATGACCCAGGTAGAGTGGAGGCCAGCAGGTTCCTTGGGCACCACAGAACACTGTATATGTTGTGATGATCACAAGGAGCCTGAGGCCTCTGCAGCCCCACATTGGCCCCATTACCTTACCCAGGAAATAGAGAGAAGCCAGCCAGCCAGGTCCTTTAAGAATTGAGAGTAAGGCTTATGGCTCTATGTGTGTAGCTCCAAGAGCCAGCAGGGGACATGATGCTGTTTGCTTTTGTAAGAACTTTTATCTCGACTGACTGACCCCTTCCTTTGTGGGGGGGAAGTTAGAGACAGACCTTTGCTCAGTAGCCTTGCCATGACAAAGCCTTGGCTTAGCTGAGGTGATCCTCAGGCTGTGGGGCATGTGAGCCCCCAAGGCAAACACAAATCTTGCATTTATAATTTAGCCCTAATAGTCTTAATTTAAAAGAAAAAAAAGATGAAAAAAGCTCTGTAAATTGAAGCTGAGCCTCTTGGGTGTCCTAGTTGCACTTGTCCAAGGGAATCCAGAACAGTCCCTGTATCTTGTTCTTGAGAGAGGTCAGAGTATAGAGGGAACAGCTGCTCTGGTATTAGCACCAAGGACTAAAAAAAGGGGAAGAACTTTATTTTTTAAATTTATTGATTTTATAGAGAGAGGAAGGGGGAGAGATCAAAACATCAATTTGTTGTTCTTATTTATGTCTTCATTGGTTGACTCTTATATGTGTCCTGACTGAGGATCAAACCTGCAACCTTGGTGTATCAGGACGACATTCTAACCAACTGAGCTACCTGGCCAGGGCAGAACTTAACCAAGGAATTTTAAGACAATCAATGATAGTACTGATGAGATGCTATCAATATGTTATCGATATGTCCTTTTTAGAATAAAGATTATGTATCATCCTTTGGGGAAAGTTGTTATTCAGGTATAAAAATGAGAGGTCAAAATAAAAACTTTTTAAAAGAACCTATGATCACAGTTTTCCCTTACCTGTTTCTAAGCTGAGTTTGAAACTGGAGAAGGAACCTCATGCCAAGTTCTTACTTGAGTGCCAGCACAGCCTCTGCTGCAGCCCTGATGGATGGTAGGCCAGCAATTTGCTTCAAGACCAGTCTCCATTTTGTACTTAAAGTACCCTTTAATCACCATAATTTGAAGGTGGTTGACTGACCTATTGCCAGACCAAGCTATGTTTGTTGTTCTTTTTTTTTTTTTTTTAAAAATATATCTTTTTATTGATTTCAGAGAGGAAAGGAGAGGGAGAAAGAGAGAGAGATAGAAACATCAATGATGAGAGAGTCATTGATGGAGCCCACAACCCGGGCATGTGCCCCGACTGGGAATCGTGCCCTGACTGGAATTGAACCCCAATCACCTGGATCCTAGGTCAAAGCTCAACCACTGAGCCATGCCTGGCTGGGCTGTTGTTCTTTATATTATGACTGGGTCTGTTTTGACATTGAAGCAGCAACTAACTGAGCAGAAAACTCTTTAGTTCTCATATCTCAGAAATAAATAGTAAGGTAACAGAAGTGATACCCTTGCCCATGCAGCTGGTATGTGGCAGAACTGGGATTTGTATCCTGAGCAACTAAGAGAGCTCACTTATATATCAGTGTAGAGTCTAGTGTGCCTTTGACTGAAAAGGTCTTGATAAGAAGTAATGAGAGTGTAAGATAAGATAGCTGGAGACGGGGAAGGAGGTGTGAAAGAGATTTTGGAGGTAAAATCAACACAAACCAGAGAGTGGTTGGAAGTGGTAGATAAGAGCAGACAAGGATGGATACCCATTGCTGGGGAGAATTGCACAAATCAGAGAAGAGGAACATTGGGGGAATAGAGTCGAGAGTTGTGGAGCCTAGTTTTACACATGTTTATCTTTGAGATGTCCAAATGCTGATAGCCACTAGACACTTGTATAGCTAGATTTCAGGTGTGAAATCTGGCTTAGAGCTAAAGATTCCAGAGTAATTGGGTTTGGGTAATAGCTGAAACCATAGATTTGAAAGGAGTCACCCAAGGGCTCCTTATTCCAAGGAAAGCTAGGAATAAGATGATGGGGTACCAAAAATGAAAACCCAATATGGAAAGGGAGAAGAGCCCACAAAGGAGATAGGAGAAGCAGATGATACAAGAGAAAAACCAGGAAAGTGGTGTTAGGAAAGGCAAAGGAAGAGAAGTTCAGGAAGGGAATGACCAGTCTCATTGAACCCTTCCAACAGAAAGGGGCTGTTATCCTCATTTTGTAAAGGAGGAAGCTGAGGTTGAGAGAAGCAAAATGAATTTTCCAAGGTAAATCGGATTAGAATTCGAACCCAGGTCAGGATGCAGAGCTCCCACTCTTAATCATTAACTATCAAGCAGTGATGTACTTCTTGTGAACTAGTGACAGCAACAGAGATCCAAGGGCTTAAAGACTGAAATAAATGGAAATTGGACTAACAGTGGTGTCTTGGTTTTCAAACATCTCTGTTGATGAACATTTTGGTTTACGAACGCTGTAAACCCGGAAATAAATGCTTCAGTTCTTGAATACGCCTCGGAAGTTGAACATGCCACACGGCTTCCACTCAGTGCAAGATCCTGAGGCCTAGCTGTCAGCTATTGATCTCCCAGTTTTTGAACATTTCAGAACTCAGTCTTCGGAACAGATTACATTTGAAAACTGAGGTACCACTGTTCTGTCATGTCAAAGTAAAGGGAAGAGAGGTTTTTAGAGGGTAGAACTGAATTCATTACAATCTGAGAAAATTTTAGCAGAAAAGAGTAAAAAGGCCTAAGTGAAGCAAGGTGGAGATTGAGAGAATGCAAAGAGCAGGACTCTTTAGTTTTTCTATACTCTTTGGAACAAAAACATAATGGCACCTTGCATTCCAGGGATAGCAGTCAGGAAACACATACTTTTGCCCTGGCTGGTGTTGCTCAGTGTTTAAGAGTGTTGGCCCAGGCACTGAAGGGTCGTGGGTTTGACTCCTGGTTGTGAGTTTTGAGTTCGCTCCTTGCCCCTAATCAGGGCGCGTGCGGCAGGCAACCAGTCAATGTGGCTCTTATATCGATGTCCCCCCAGCCCTAAAAATGCAATGGAAAAAATATCCTCAGGTGAGGATTAACAACAACAGACACATATGCTTTCTACATTAATTTGAGCTTAGATTTTCTTTAAAAATAAATACCAGGTTGCACCTGGTCTTTTGGGCATGTGGATTTGTAGTTTCTCATTCACTCTGGTGAGAAAGGAGCTATTCTAATTTCTAGTATGGGATTGCTTATGTCATCACAATTTTTAACAGAAAGGAAGAGGAGGCCAAGTACATAATTACAGATAAAGATGTGGTTTTAGATGGCTTAAACTAGAGGCAGAAAAGTTGAAGTATGGACTAGCAAAGAGAAAAATGCCCTTCTTACTGAATAATATTAGTACAAAACTGTGCATTACAAAGACAGTATACCTTTGGAGTGTATGATTACAATAATCATGTCCTTAAGGAAGAATCATTATTGTCTGATAATAGCAGAATAGCTTATGTTGGAGCAATCCTCCCATAAATAACAAATATAAACAAATGGTTGAATATGAAACACTATCTTGGTTTTATTAAGAAAATACATATGATTGTTCCAAGCAAAAAATTATATTACATTATATTGTGGGGTTTAACATATGCAAATGTAACTAAAGGACAAGGGGGTATATGGAACTTTATACTTGAAAGGTTTTTAAATTTTACATAATGTGGTATAAAACTAATCTTAAATAGTTTGTGAAGAGTTGGGGATGGATATTATAATCCCTAGAGCAACCATTAAGAAGATGCAAAGAAATATAGCTAAAAAGACAAAAGAGAAATTATAATGAAATTCTAAAAAACATTCAATTAGCACCTTCCTCCCCTAAAAAAAGTACAGGAAAGTAAGAATAGAGGAACAAAAAAGAAAAAAGAGAAAATAAATAAATAGCAAATATTAAATGTATCAATCAATAATTACATGAGAATGTAACTAGCCTAAAAAAATGCAATTGGATTAAGCATTCTAATTAAAAAGCAGAGAAAGAATTAAAAAAATAAAGCCCAGTTATCTGCCATTGAAAGTAAAAGGATGGAAAAAGATATACCATGCAAACTACAGACATAGGAAGTCTGTAATAATCTCTAGAGTGCTATATTAATGTCAGATAGACTTAAAACAAAGAGTATTACTAGAAATACAGAGGAATTTGCCTGACAAAGAAGTCAAAGAAATAGTCATAAGGATGCAAACCAAACTCAACAGTGCAATAGAGGAACTTAGGGAGAACTTCAAGAAAGAGAAGGTGTAATAAAGAACCAAGCAGAGCTGAAA